TAGAGCGAGCTATGCTGACCTTTAACAAACATTTGTTTTGTGGCATGGCTGCAATAGAATGTTATTGCTGGGCATATGAAGAAAGAATATATGCCCAAAGAAAATGGGAAGGCTTTTAAAAGGGTGGACCTAGTCTCTGTGCTTCCATTCGTTTGAGGTGAGGCTTACTTTATGTTCCTTTTCAAATCAATAGCAAGGCTGTCATTCATGTGAGTAGGATTTGAAGGAAACCCATACTGAGTCTGTATTAATTAAAACATCAGCACATGTTGATTTACTGTGTGTTTGGGGGATGGAAGGAATAGATTTAATAACTTGGTTTAGGATTTTGCCATCTGCTACGTGTAACACCATGTGCGGTCTGAGAATTACCTTTAAGAAAAATCTCATCAGAAGAATTGCAATAGGAGCAGATATTTCACAAAAGAACTAGTAGGAGGAATGCAAGAAAAGCTGATCTTAATTAGAGGAGAGAAACAGTTCCTACTGTGAGAGATACTGGCTATTTTTATTATACCTCAGCTGATTTTATTTGTAAAAAAAGTTACATTGGATGCTGACCTGAAGCTTAGGCAAGTGGATGGGATTCTGCTAGATTCTTCTATCCGTGAGTAAAGCATCATGGTTTTGTTTTTGCACAGTAAGTGAGGAAAGGACGTTAGAAAAAATATAAAGCAATTAAAACATTTGTGAAAATGAATTACGGATTTTGTCACTTTGTGGTAAGCATTTATGCGTGTGTAGCTGGCTCCAGCCGGTACTTGTGTTGTCTGATTAGTCTGATTTCATGAAATGGGCTATTGACCCATAGTCTTTCAGAAGGTGGCCTGATGTTGCCAGGTACTGAGTGTGCTGGTCCAAAGCCTTCAAAGATTTGTATGTTCGTATCTCCTAGATATAACTAGTTCAGCTGATCTGAGAGCTCAGGCCAAATTTGCCTTATCTAATGTCATTTCTTATGCACCAGGCTGCACCGTCGTAACTATCTGTGTGCACACTCGTGGCCTGTCCCAGACCCTGATCTTTTCAGTAATGCCATTCAGGTTACAACTCAGGTGACTTGAAATCACTTTGTAACTTTCATTAGTGTAATGTAAGCTTTTGAACCTTAAATAATGAGGGGTTTGGAAAGAAAGAGGGCTGGAAAATGAAAACTTTAGCATCTGTTGTTGATTAGGGGAATCTGTTCCCACCCACTTTTGAAGCCCCTTTATGCTACTTGCGTTTTTTAAAGGGCGTTGACATAACTGAGAATACTGCAGCTCCTTCAAAAATTGCCTGTTTTTCTTGAATGACTCGATTCTTTTTCTTACTTTCATTGCACACAGTGTGCAAGTCAGAGGAATGGATCAAAGGAAATCAACAATTTTGTCTCGGGTGCTCAGCAAAATTAGAATATAGAGTGAAATTAATTAGGGTTAGGAAAGAATATCAGTGTTTGTGAGATCAGAGTTGGGATGGAGTGTTACAGGGCATATTTTAATAGGATAAGTGGAATATATTTAAACTTCCAAGTGGAATAATGTGCACCAAGTCAAAATGTAAAGCAGCATGTGAGCAGATAGGAAGTGTGTGTCAGAAAGACCACCTGATCCTTTCTGACTTAACTTAGTGTAGCTTCTATTTTGACAAAGAAAGGTGACAAAGGAAGTAAAAGTGGCTGAGGCAGAGGCTTCATAGCCTGGGAATGAGAAAAGAAGTAAGTCTTGCACTCTACTTTGGGGAAGAAGGTTTAGAGCTGTCTGTTATGGGAGCAGCTCCTCAGCTGCTGCCCCCACAGGGGCTCCCATCCCTTGCCCAAATGCAGTTGGGGTTGGGCTCTTTGTAGTGAGAACTTGTGATGGTAACAAAATATGTTTCTCCACAGTAGGAGACTGTAGAATTTATTATACAAGAACAGTCTTGCTGTCACTGTTATCTTTCTTCCTCCACCACCTTTAGTAAATAATATATAACTTTTGATTCTTTTTTCTTTTTTATTTTTTTGCCACCAGAGCTACTGCATACCTGCCTTTGTCAGGTTCAGCTGTTAAATATCTAATGTACTCTTTAGCTAGGGAAGTGAACTTGAGGTCAATATTTCTTCCATTTAGTTTTACTGCATGTGGGGTTTTTTTTCTGTGCTTTTTTTTTTTTTAAGCCTAAGGAAATGAAACTCATAAGCTTGTACTGTTTTTTCATCCTCCACCCTCCTTCTATATCTGCCTGTTTGTATGTCTGATGAATTTCAGCCAAATTTGAGAGTTTTCAGAGATACAGAGCTCCCCACAAAACGTAACTGTATAGGTTAAGTTAACCAAATCAATGCCCTGGCTGAGAGGAAGGCCACTGTGTTCCCACACTGCTTGCCACTGAGGATCAAGGTGAGAATCTACCTTGAGAGATTGAGACAATTCCTGAGAACCCTGGGGGCCTACTGAACAACTGTAGATTAATTTTATTTTCTTCTATTTTCTTCCCATGTACTGGTTTCTCCTGTCTTTTACTGTTAAGTTCTTCCTTGTCCACTGCTTCCGAATGCTACTGGGTCTGCTCCTATTCAGTAGCAGGCTCTATAATATAACCAGCTTTTTTTCCCCCCCCTCAGGCAACAGGAAAAATGTATGTAAACTAATTTTTGCTGGCTCTCTTGTTCTGGTGAAATAGATACTGACTTTCTACAGAAGGTGCACTTGGGATCAGTTCATAAGAGCTCTTGCTCAGTAGTGGACTCAGGCAGTTGGCCTCTGCAAGAAGAGTAGTTTTCCTGCTTGTAGGATTATTTATGAAGACTCAGTACTGTCTCTGTAGGTGGCCTGACCATTATGCCAGGAAAAACTTTGGGTTCTGTGTATTTCAAAAGCTGGAAACATCCTTTTTTCAGAGTTGATTTTTAGTTAAGACCTGAGCTTTGGAAACAGTGTGCCAGAGGTCTGGGAAGGCCTTCCTGCAAGCAGTCTTGAATTATTTTTAATGCACTGAATAAACATTAGGAAGTAAAATGCTTGCCCCAGGATATCTGTAGCCGCTTCACCCTTTCTCTTGGCTCTGACTTCCCAAACTTTTTTTCCCTTATTTAAAAAAGGAAAGTTGGAGAACAGTCTGCCTATGTTTAATAGTGGCTCCTGTGCCAGTCACTGCCCACCCTTGTCCTGTAATTGCTGAAACCAGTTCCAACAAATTCGTAATTTCCTCGCTGCTTTTGACTGTGGGGCTCATTAGGTTTTAGCAAGGTCAAAGGTTCATCCATTCATTCTTGAAAGTGTGTGATCACCTTACATACTAGCATATTCTTGAATAGAAGTGTCCATTCAGTTCTCCATTGTAAAAATGATCAGTTTGGGTTCTAGCATCACACTTCTTGACTGCTTGTTAAAAATAATGTCATACACTTCCCAGTTCTCAAGTTTCCTTTGAAAATGCTACAGTTGTCCATGGAAAAATGTGTCCTAGCTATTCAGCTGTAATAGCTTGCAGTTGTGGGGCAAGAATCACAGAATCGCAGAGTGGTAGGAGTTGGAAGGGACCTCTGGAGATCATCTAGTCCAACTCCCCCACCAAAGCAGGTTCACCTAGAGCAGGTCACACAGGACTGCATCCAGGCGGGTTTTGAATATCTCCAGGGAGGGAGACTTTGCAACCTCCCTGGGCAGCCTCTTCCAGGGCTCTGTCACCCTCAGAGTGAAGAAGTTTTTCCTCATGTTGAAGTGGAACTTCCTGTGCTTCAGTTTGTGCCCATTGCCCCTTGTCCTGTCACTGGGCACCACTGAGAAGAGCTTGGCCCCATCCTCTTCACACTCACCCTTTAGATATTTATAAGCATTGATGAGGTCCCCTCTCAGCCTTCTCCAGGCTAAAGAGCCCCAGGTCTCTCAGCCTTTCATCATATGAGGGATGCTCCAGTCCCCTCATCATCTTTGTAGCCCTCCGCTGGACTCTCTCCAGTAGCCCTCTGTCCTGCTTGAACTAGGGGACCCAAAACTGGATGCAGTACTGCAGGTATGGCCTTACCAGGACAGAGTAGAGTGGGAGGAGAACCTCCCTGGACCTGCTGGCCACAGTCTTCTTAATGCACCTCAGGATGCCGTTGGCCTTCTTGGCTGCAAGGGGACATGGATGGCTCATGGTCATCCCGTTATCCACCAAAACTAAATTCATCCTTGTGCAAGTCCATCTATGCAATAATCTCCAACCAAGTTCTGACTTAGTTGAGTTCAGTGGACCTCATGTAAATTCCTGCATCAATTGCTTTTCAATTTTACAGAGTTTGTCTATATCTGTCAGAATTGGGGTGGGATTGCCTTTATAGCAAGGTCTCAAAGTTTCATAGTATAATAGGTGTAATAATTAGGAAAAAAAAGTAATTCCTGTATTCTTCATAGCCAATCTCTGACCTGTACACAAACATGTTTACTGACATATCTGTACACATACATTTATACAGACTAGAGTACCTCGATCCTTCCATGTTTTTAAAATCTAATAATGCATGTTAAAATGCCTGTTCTAAGCACACAGCTGGTATTGTGCATTTGAAAACCGTTCAGTCACTGCTCTCTCAATGCATGGAGCTCAGCTTGCCAGGGGAGTCTCTGAAGTGATCTCCTCATTGCTCTGTTAACTTCTGGGAGAGCAGAAGCAGCTGACCAGAAAGTATTAACCTTGGAAGTCATTAAGGGTACCAAAAATGATGGGTGTCAAGAGTTGCTTCCTTAAAGCTTTTCTAAAAATACTTATCTTACAGGAAGCAGTTCAGAAATCTGAAAGAATACATTTCAGGTGTACATCATAGTTGAGATGAAAACTGAATTTATGTAATCCTAGGTTTCATAAGTAAAATCTTGGTCTTGCTGAAGCAAGGAGCAGATCTCCTTTTGACTTTAACGGGTGAAATTCTGCAAGGTAGTATGTGCAGCTGTTTTATGCCAAGGTTTGTCAAACCATAACTACCTTAAATAT